CCCACCACACAACCTGAGAAGCATCTCTAATGTGAAGGTAGTGGAAGAGGCCAAACATTTTTAAAGGTAGTCGCCCTTCTGGGCCTACAGAGTTCTACATCAGCCTATGGCAGAGGAATAGAGACAATAGAAGACACTACCGATTGGAGGGAATTTTTGCTGCTGTTTTGGGGGCATCCTGTACCCCCAAACCTCTCTCCCTAGAAAGTGGAATCAATAGATTTTTATAAAAGAAGACTGGAGGCCTTGAAGTCCATCATCTGTCTGTCTGTCTCCATTGGTGGGTTGGTGAGTGTTTGGGTGCAGCTACAAGGCAAGTCACAAGTAGCAAAAGCTTGAAGCTTGTGGGCCCATTAAAATTCCAGCAGCTCCCTCGGGGGTCAATTGCTACATACAGAGAAGTGTAAAACTGCTGAATTTCCGCCCCCCCCATATTTGAATGGGCAAACGTGACACCTTCATACACACAGCCTGCAGATAACGGTGATATTCTTCTATTTGGCAAATGAGGTTTAATGTTGATAAATGTAAAGTTTTGCACTTGGGGACTAAAAACATTCATGTGTCATACATTCTGGGGGGGGAGTATGTTTGGGGAGTCAGTGATGGAGAAAGATCGAGGGGTTCTGGTAGATCATAGACTCAATAATAACATGCCGCAGATTCTAAAGCAGCAAAATCCTTCCTTGTATTATACGGGGTCTCCGGACTCCAGAGAGAGAGACACCATCCTGCCCCTGTACAAAGCATTAGTAAGACCTCATCTGTCTCCATCCTTCCTTATATTATACGGGGTCTCCAGACTCCAGAGAGAGACACCATCCTGCCCCTGTACAAAGCATTAGTAAGACCTCATCTGTCTCCATCCTTCCTTGTATTATACGGGGTCTCTAGACTCCAGAGAGAGACATAATCCTGCCCCTGTACAAAGCATTAGTAAGATCTCATCTGTCTCCATCCTTCCTTATATTATACGGGGTCTCCGGACTCCAGAGAGTGCAGCGAAGGACTAAACTCCTAAGAGGCGTGGAGGAGCTCAGCTATGAGGAACAATGAGCTGACCTGAATGTGTTCTCTCTGGAGAAGAGGCGATGGGGGAGGGAGGGGGGACATGATCACCATATATAAATACATAAATGGTCCATATAGTGAGCTTGGTGCCAAATTATTCACGTTAAGGTCGTTGCAAAGGACAAGGGGGCACTCTCTGCGTCTGGAGGAAAAGAGGTTTAACCTTTGCATACGGAAAGGATTCTTCACAGTTAGAGCTGTGACAATGTGGAATAGACTCCCCCAGGAGCTCGGTTAATTGTTTAAAAAACATCTGGATGTATTCTTAAATGCACACAATATTACTGGATATTGAGCTCTTAGAGGTATATAAAGCATCAGAGAGAGGAGAGAGAGAAGAGGGGGAGAGGGAGGGAGGGGGGAGAGAGAGAAGAGGGAGGGAGG